ACACACACACACACACACACACACACACACACACACACACACACACACACGCACACACACACACACACACACACACACACACACACACACACACACGCTATAAAACACCTGAATGACGTGGCCAGGTATAGACTACAAGTACCTGAGATGAAATGGAGTGGTGGAGTTTCATCAGGAGGAATGGAGGGAGGAGAGGAAGAGGGGCACCATCACCATCACCATCACCATCACCATTACCATCAGCTGTACATCACTGTCTAGAAAGTATCCTAACGGGAGATCAGGATGTTATTGGTTCCTTATATGTGGTAAGTGTTAGGAGAGGAAGGATTAGGTATTAGGACGTGTGTGTGTGTGTGTGTGTGTGTGTGTGTGTTGAGAAGAAGGATATTGTCGTAGGATTCTCTAAGGGAGGTGTAGGATGTGAATCTATGAGCATCCTACTAATATTTGATGGCATGGGTGTAGGATAATGTTGGGATGTGTCTAATATAAAAGGATATGGTTATAGGATTTTTATATAGGGAGAGATGAAGGAGGTTTAGGATTCTTAGACCTGGAGAGGTTACTAAAGGGTTCTGAAAAGGAGGTGTAGGAACTGAAGCTGAGAATATCCTACAGGAGATGACGGTGGAAAGGATGGTGGTGGTGGCTTAACATAGCGAGAGAGAGAGAGAGAGAGAGAGAGAGAGGCTACAACTCTGAATCGTAATAATGAAATCGCTATATAACGGACTTCGATTTAACGGACTTTCCTCTTCCAAATAGTCCGTTAAAGATGAAGGCCTCGCATCTAACGGACCTCGATCTAAACTCGCTTATTATACCACTACTTTGTATAAAATTCAAAATAAAAATACCATAAAAAAAATCCAAAATTAACAATAAAAATCTAAATAAAAATACAAAGTAAAAAAATAATATGAGAAAGTTAAGAGAATATATTTTTTTCTTATCAATTTTTTCCCCCCCGAGTAGAGGAAATAGAGCGAGCAACTGAACGGAGGCTATCTTGTGTGAGAGCCTTTGATGCCCTAGTGAGATGAAGGAGTCTGGGAAGGCTGGAGGTTGTACTCGAGGGTGAGGTTAAGATCGGCCCAAGGTGCTGGAGGAGAGATTGAAGGGCCTCCATTTCATTACCTTGAGAGACAGTGAGAGGGAGGGAAGGGTGGGGGCAGGGAGGGGAGAGGATAGGGGAAAGGTAGAGGGAGGGAGGGAAGGGTGGGGGGTAGGGGAGGGGAGAGGATAGGGGAAAGGTAGAGGGAGGGAGGAAGGAGATACTCGTGTTGAGGAAGATGAAGGATGTTTAGTTATTTGTCCTTCCTTTTCTGCTCTCTCTCTCTCTCTCTCTCTCTCTCTCTCAGCAGGAAGACACACATGAATGCCTTTTACCTGAGATCATCTGTCAGGATCTCGACGTTGAAGGACTGCAGGTGGAAGCTAAAGGTTTTTATCTAGAGTATCCTAGCGGGAGATGGCGTTCGTAAGATCCTATTGCCAACATCCTAACAGGGAATGCCACTCGTAGGATGCTATTGGTAACATCCAAGCAAGGAATACGATTCATAGTAGACACGTATTGAGATCCTAGTAGAGAAAACACATAGGATGCCTGCCTGGGAGGAGGGGGGGGCGAGAAGGAAGCAAGAGTCAACAATGGGTGGATGCTGTTGGGAAGACGTGAGGATTGAGGAAGGAATGAATAGATGGAAAGGTAAAGAAGAGTAAAGTTGAGGCTAGGGAGTTCTCTTCTGGTGGATGTGAAGGAAATAAATTTTCTTGGGGTGTAGGAGGTAAGAGCGTTGGTTGTAGGAGTGTAGGAACGTTGGTTGTAGGAGTGTAGGAACGTTGGGTGTAGGAGTGTAGGAACGTTGGGTGTAGGAGTGTAGGAACGTTGGTTGTAGGGGTGTAGGAACGTTGGGTGTAGGAGTGTAGGAACGTTGGTTGTAGGAGTGTAGGAACGTTGGTTGTAGGAGTGTAGGAACGTTGGGTGTAGGAGTGTAAGAACGTTGGGTGTAGGAGTGAGGGATTATAAACGTTTGTGCGTAGAAATAATAATAATAATAATAATAATAATAATAATAATAATAATAATAAAATACATATAAAAATATAAAATAATGATAATAATGATAATAGTAATAATGCCAACCACACACAGATTATAGATAATGACAGAGAAACAAATAAGATATATTACCTGTACCTGTGTTTGTAATGATAATGTTTACCTGTCTGTCTCCGCCCTGGTGCTGCAATAACAACTGGTGGTATTGAGATGTGGTGCTCGATAACGCTGTGGAAATGTATATAAAATTATGTGTTTTAGGTGTACGTTCTGTGGGGTTTAGTGTACGTTCTGTGGGGTTTAGTGTACGTTCTGTGGGGTTTAGTGTACGTTCTGTGGGGTTTAGTGTACGTATATGTGGGGTTTAGTGACGTTCTGTGGCGTTCACTTGGTGTTCGGATCCGTTCTAGTTACGATGTCACCTTCACATACCATATTATCCGCAACGTTCACTTACGTTCTGTCACGTTCACCCATCTCACGTTCAGTTGCGTTCACCTGTCTCACGTTCATCTGCGTTCACCCATCTCACGTTCATCTGCGTTCACCCATCTCACGCTCATGTGCGTTCACCCGTCTCACGTTCAGCGGCGTACGTGATCGCCTGAAGACGTTTACTGCCATTAACGAGGGTCTGGTGATTGGGTTCGTTACGCTCTCGTTATTGGAGGAAGTGATTCACGATGAGTCAGGTCACAAAAAATATAAATAAATACATTGACATTCCCACCGAGCTTGTTATTTTGGAGGTATGCTGGTGAGTCCCTCCTTCCCTCCCTCCTTCCCTCCCAACTCTCCCTTCTTCCCTCCCTCCCTCCCTCCACCCCTCCTTCAATCCCTCCATCCCTCCATCCATCTCTTCCTTCTTCCCTCTCTCCCTCCCTCCCTCCCTCCTTTCATCTCTCCCCAGCTACACCAACCTCCCACTCCACCCCCCCTCCTGACCACTCCCTCAGGTGTATCCCACGATCACCTTCACACCCCCTCTCCCCTCTCATTTTCCTCTCCCCACCCCTCTCTCCTATCCTCTTCTCCCTCTCCTTCAGGTGAATCCCACGATCTCCTCCCCCTCCTCCTCCTCGTCTGGCCTTGAGCTAGATTAGCCTTGAGGGAGAGGTACTGAGGGGAGATATTGGAGAAAGATATTGGAGTAATAGATGCTGGAGGAGGAGGTACTGGAGGAGGTGGTACTGGAGGAGGAGGTACTGGAGGAGGAGGTACTGGAGGAGGAGGTACTTGGCAAGCAAACACCCCAGTCTTTAGGAGCTCAAATCATTAGGTTAGCACTGGGACCTATCAGAACTAAGGGCCGGGATGTACTGGGCCTGCAAGAGCATCAACTAATATTCTACCGGTATCTCCCTACCCCGGTAAACTGGGGTAGAGAGATACCAACAACAATACCCAAAAAGAACGACCAATTCATCCACTTCTAACTTTCCCCCGTATCTTCTTGTTTCCCCAGGTGGTGCTGCCATCTACCGGGGAGTACTGGGATGAGAACACGACGGACGCGGACCACCAGTACGTCAACAACAACTCTAACAACAAGTTTGAGACGGATGAGACGGCCACCTACTACCGCCGCTACTTCCTGGGCAACGTGAGTACACCTGGTGATTAATTAGCTCTCACCTGGGCTATGTAAGGTGTTGTTTACCTTCACTTAATGATGTGTATTACCTGTGGCCCTTAGCAACGTGTGTACCTGTTAATGAGCTTACCTGTCCGCCTATTTAGATAGATAGATAGATAGATACGGACGGGTGGACAGACAGACATACAAACAGACAGACAGACAGACAGACCAGGTAAAAATATATAAAAACATTCTCGTATATAAACATCGTGGACCAATCAGAGAACGCGTAAATATATTGCTCTCTGGCAGGTGTGTCATGGAGGCCAACTCTATCCTCTTTAGATAAATTAAACCGAATCACCTGATAATTAGACAGCCCAATTTATTTCACCTGAAGATCAATCACCCTCACGCTCTCTGAGGTGAGTTACGTTAGGTTAGGGTGAATAATCGTCTGGTAAAATAAACTTGGATCCTAAAAGTCATTCAGGTGAACTAACTTAACGTATATATTAAATAAAGTATAGAAATGAAACCCCCCCTAAATTATGGCTGACCTTGAATAGCAATACTGGGTGTATGTGTGTGTGTGTGTGTGTGTGTGTGTGTGTGTGTGTGTGTGTGTGTGTGTGTATGTGTGTGTGTATGTATGTGTGTGTGTGTGTGTGTGTGTGTGTGTGTGTGTATGTGTGTGTGTGTGTGTGTGTGTGTATTTATAGCTGGGGTTAGCTGTTAATTTTATATGTTTTGCTCTTGGTCCGCCTCCGTTTTGGATTTTTTTTTTTAGTGTAAGATTTATTTTGGTGTTTTTTTTTTCGTTTTTTTAGTTTGGTTTAGTTTTTGTTTTATTTTTGTTTATTCTTTCCTGTTTGGTTATTGTTATTCTTCTTCTTTCTCTTTTATGTACATTTTCTTTCATTTCTTTCCTTCCTACCTTCCATTCTTTCTCCCTCCTCTCTTCTCTTTCTACCACCCTCCTCCCTCCTCCTCCTCCTCCCTCCTTTCTATGCACTTGTCTCCTCCTCTCCTTCTTCTTTTCTTTCTTTCTTCTTTCTTTCTTTCTTCTTCTTCTACCACCTCCTCCTCCTCCCTCCTCCCCCTCCCTCCTTTTCTTATACCTCACCTTTCTCTCCTCCTCCTCCTTTCTTTCTTTCTTTCTTCTTTCTTTCTTTCTCCTTCTTCTTTCTTCTTTCTTTCTTCTTCTTTCTTCTTCTTCTCTACCACCACAACCTCCTCCTCCTCTCCCCCACATTTGCAGCCTCCCACTATGTCGACCAGTGTTCAGACAGAGAAGTAAAATTCATCCATTACATCCACCCGAGGGCGTCAAGATCTCATCCTCCCACGCCAGATCACCTTGTTCAAGGTCCTCTTGTTAGTGTTGTTGTTGTTATTACTTTGTTCAGGGTCCTCTTGTTAGTGTTATTATTGTTATTACTTTGTTCAGGGTCCTCTTGTTAGTGTTGTTATTGTTGTTATTACTTTGTTCAGGGTCCTCTTGTTATTGTTGTTGTTGTTGGTGTTATTGATGTTCGTGTTATTATTGTTGTTCATGGCCCCTTGTTATTGTTGTTGTTGTTATTGTTATTACCTTGTTTAGGGCAGTTATTATTATCATTATTATAATTATTACTATCCTCCTCCTCCTCCTCTCTTCCTCTTCCCCCTCCTCCTCTCTTCCTCTTCCCCCTCCTCCTCTTCCTTCCTCCTCCTCCTTCTATTCTTCCCCCTCCTCCTCCTCCTATTCTTCCCCCTCCTCCCCTTCCTCCTCCTCTTCCTTCCTCCTCCTCTTCCTCCTCCTCCTTCCCTCCCTCTTCCTTCCTCCTCCCCTTCCTCCTCCTCTTCCTTCCCTCCTCCTCTTCCTTCCTCCCTCCTTGTCATCTCCCTCTTCCTCCTCCCCTCAGCCCATCCATACTTCATACGACAACCCGGGAACTTGCCATTTCTTTCTCATTTTTCTTTCCGTGGTCGTGGATGTTAGAACCCTCAGGCTTGAAACGCAGGTGAGATAATTGATGTTACCGTGTTACACCTGCTAAAGGGTGGCTGTGTTGTTCTTTTGTTCTTGCTGTTGTTTCGTTCTTTCGTCTTCTTCGCCTCTCCCTTTATTGTTCTTGCTTTGTTCTTTTGTTGTTTTTGTTCTTCATTTTATTGCCTTCCCTCCCCTCCCCCTCCCTCATTCTCTCTCAGTATCTCACCATCTACCTACCTTCCTTTCATTTCCATCTCTACCTCTCTCTCCACCCCCCCCATCAATATGCCCAGGGTGCTAAGCCATGGCCTGTGTGTGTGTGTGTGTGTGTGTGTGTGTGTGTGTGTGTGTGTGTGTGTGTGTGTGTTTGGTCAACAGTAACGTACATTATACCACTTCTTTTTTTTTTGGCCTCACTTCCTCCACACAAAGATGAGAGAGAGACAAGGGTGGACCCAGGTATGCTGAGGAGGAGGAGGACAAGGAGGCGAGGTTGTAGATAAGGAGGAGGAGGAGGAGAAATAAAAGGAGAAATAAAAGGAGGAATGGGGAAGAGGAGAGGGTGTAGATAAGGAGGAAGAGGAGAGGGTGTAGATAAGGAGGAGGAGAAGAGGGTGTAGATAAGGAGGAAGAGGAGAGGGTGTAGATAAGGAGGAAGAGGAGAGGGTGTAGATAAGGAGGAGGAGGAGGAGGAGAGGGTGTAGATAAGGAGGAAGAGGAGAGGAGGGGCAGGAGAAAGAGAAGAAGGATAAAGAAGAGAAGAAATCAACTACAACAGAAAGAGAAGATAAGAAAAGAGGGACAGAGTAAATTAAGAAAGAAAAGGAAAATAAAATAAGAATAACTCGGATAAAAAGAGGAATACAAGGAAGAGAAGAAGGAAGAACAAGAGAAAATTTAATAAAGGAAGGACAATAAGAAGCAGGAGATAAGGAAGAAGGAAGAAGGAAGAACAACGAGAAAATAAATAAAGGAAGACAAGGAAGAACAAGAAAAAATGAATAAATGAAGATCAAGAGAAAAATCAAGAGAGGAGGACAGTGCGAAGCAGGAGACAAGCAGAGTAGAATTGGGTCGAGTTTTTGCAGGTGTAGTCAAGGTGTGTGATTTGTGCTCCTCTCAGATACACACGTCAAGGGGGAAATACCTCGACCAGACACGAGAGAGAGAGAGAGAGAGAGAGAGATAAATAGATTGATAGATTGCGAGAAAGACAGACACACAGACAGAAAATTAGATAGATAGATGTCAGACAGATGATAGATAGACAGGTCGCTAAAAAGACAGACAGGAAGACTAAGATGTAGAGTAGTAAAAAGACAGAAAGACAGACAGGCAAAGTGAAAGTCAAAGGAAATACTTGTCATAGTGGCCGCAGGTGTTCACTTGTTGCGTACGTATGTTAGTCAGTCTTCATTCTCTAAGGTAAATAAGGTCTTGTGTCCACCTGGATCATTCCCATAGTGATGATCCACCTGTCTGTCTGTCTGTCTGTCTGTCTGTCTGTCTGTCTCATTTAGTGTGTGTATGTGTCTGGTGACTCTCTCTCTCTCTCTCTCTCTCTCTCACCCATAACCCACGCGTATAAGGGTAGTTTAATGGTAGCAAAGAGGCCATCGTGGTTAGGCTGCCCCCCCAAATCCTAGGTCAGACCTTTCTCACCACACGCACAGGAAGACCCGACCATATCTCCGGGCGGTGGAGACGGTCGCGTGGGAACCCTAGCTACCGCTCCTTCTGCGTCCGTGTCCGTGGAACGTACCCATAATCACGGACCATGAGATTACATTCTACAGGAGGTTTATGGGTACGGACCATGGGTTTTTAGGGCCATGATGTGCGGATGATGGGTCCTTTACCTGTTACCCGACCCCCTCATGTGTGTGCCCATTACCTGTGCCCACTACCTGTCTACCTGTCACCTGTGGTAATTAAAACTATCTGATGGCCGTACCCCTAGACCGTATCACGTCCGTACTGTGTCCTTAATCAGTGTCCGTACCGGGGTCGTACTTAAAGTGTGCTTAATACCTCAATACCCAGTGGATAGACATATTTACAGCGTGGATAGATCTACAGTATATACAGTCTGGATAGATCTATATACAGCGTGGATAAATGTATATGCAATGTGGATAGACATACATGGAGTGGGTAGGAGTAATGGGAGGCTGGATGGATTAAGGATAGGAGGGTGATCAGTGAGAGAGGAGATGGGATGGGAGGCTGGCTGGTGATCTTGCTCTCCTTGACATACTGATGGTAACTCAGTGACTCTCCCTCCATCCCTCCTCCCTCTCTCTCCCTCCCACCTCAGTCCTACTCTCTCTCTCTCCTCCCTCCCTCCCTCCCTCCCTCCCTCCTCTCCCCTCACCCCTCCTCCCTCCCTCCCTCCCACCCTCACCCCTCCTCCCTCCCTCCTCCCCTCACCCCCTCCCTCCTCCCTCCCTCCCTCCCACCTCAGTCCCACTCTCTCCCTCCCACCTCAGTCCTACTCTCTCCTCCTCCTCCCTCCCTCCCTCCCTCCCTCCCTCCCTCCTCCCCCTCCCTCCTCCCTCCCTCCTCCTCCTCCCTCCCCCCTCCCTCCCTCCTCCTCCTCCTCCTCCCCCTCCTCCTCCCTCCCTCCCTCCCCCCTCACCCCTCCCTCCTCCCTCCCTCCCTCCTCCCTCCTTCCTCCCTCCCTCCCTCACCCCTCCCTCCCTCCCTCCCTCTCCCTCCCTCCCTCCCTCACCCTTCTTCCTCCCTCACCCCTCCTCACCCTCCTCCTCCTCCCTCCCTCTCCCTCACCCCTCCTCCCTCCCTCCCCCTCACCTCCCTCCCTCCTCCCTCCCTCCCTCCCTCCCTCCTCCTCACCCTCCTCCTCCCTCCTTCCTCCTCCTCCCTCCTCCCTCCTCCCTCACTGAGACAACACTCTAGTGAAGTAATACAAGATATTAACAAATACTATCGCGTTAATGACCAGGTTAATTAAGGTTAAATGTGAAAAGAGTTAACAATGACAGAGTGAGAGAAATTTAGCATGTTAAAATGACGAGGGTAATTAATGCAA